CGTTAAGATCATATTAAGGTCTAAAAAAAGGATGTTTACACTGTTCAGGCTAGCATATGTAGCCGTGGTGGAAGCTAACAAAAAAGGCGGGAAAACCTAAATGTTAGCTAAAAAACTTGAAAATGTGTTTTTCTGAAAACTCAACAGTATGGGTCCAAACCATAATGCCTTGTTATGTTATTATAAAGGTTATACTTTGAATAATGCAAGTCATCTATGAGAACAAAGCATATTTTAAAGTGCTACCGTACACAAAGCTAGCTCTGATGCTAAAACTCTCATCAGATATAGTAATGAACCAATGGGCCTACTCCTTTAAATGAATGTCATAATGTTATTACAGATGTTTAACACATTTCATCACAGATTATAAAAACAGAATAAGGCAACTAACACTTTTTTAAATGCTAAATCCGATCACATGTCCCAGAAATTGAATAGCAGGCTGTTTTTCATGCAGATGTATTTTCAGCTGAACTGAAGGTGATGTGAACCCTGGCCCTAAGGTGACGTTTGAGCACTAGATACTGCACCAACGATGGTCTGAAAGTGCATATACAGCCATTTTATCACAGTAAAGCATCAACACAGATAGACAGACATTCACTTACCAAGAAAATCAGATGCAAATTGATAACGACATTAAAAGAATAATCATAAAAAAAGATTTTCTATATCCAAAACAAAGTCATTTCATCTCTTGCTTCAGAGGTTTTCAATTCCTCACACCACAGGTCCTTTATAAACATACCAAAGAATAAAAAGGACATTTCAGTAGCAATCTTTCACACGATGGAGGTTTTACCCCGCTTGCTTTCAACCTTAGATTTAAGAGCAACAACGAACACTTGGTGCACAACGAAAGCAACATCAACTACATCAAAAACAACATGAGTGTGGATCTTCACACGGTGTCTTTAATCGTACAATTTCAGTATTTTACATTCCACATATTCCTGCAGGGACTGTCGACCGTGTCCACAAAAGAGTGCTAGAATGAGCTGGGGTAGGTTCCTGTGAGGAAAGGGAAGTAGGTGCATACTAAGAGGACAGAGTGAAATAAATATTGGATTGTAAATTGGGGTGTTGGAAGGACGGGAGAAGATGTGAGGAAAGGATGCTGACTTACAGATGTTTCCCTGGGTAAGTAAGAAGTTATCTGTTGTAAGAAGTTGCATGATCTGCTTCTGAGTGTTGTAGTTGGTGCTTCGCTGCAGCAGCACAGCTTAGCATCAAGTTCACATTTGTAGCTTATTGTAAACGTAACATAAACCTTGACTTTGATCGGAGAGACAGTTAAAATAGAGACGTGGACTTTTCGCTTATATATTGCAAAAGGTGGAGGCGACAGACGAAGCCTTGAAATAACTGCTTTTGCAAAACAGTGTATGTGGCAGAGTTCCCGTTAGCCGGTAATTACCGGACTATGACCGGTAAAATATGCTGAAGACCGGCAAATCTAAATCTCTCCGGTCAAAGTGTCCGTCCAAATAATTTCCGTTTAGCGCAATATTACATCAGTTGCGCAACTTATGTGACAGGCAAAAGAGTATGTGACAGACAAGAATAGTCAATTCTAATGTCTAACACGTAATGTGGAGAAAGAGATGTCCTGTCTGGGTTGATTGTGCGTTGATCTGTTGGTAATGCCTCGGGGTTCCGGTGGGCATGTAAACATATGCATAATGCTGCGCTATACTTTGTGGCCTCACCCAGTTGCATAGCGACACTTATTGTTTAGGTGTCTTTTAATAAGCAGGTAGTCCTATCATTAGCTAGAACTAGCTGGATCTGATCGATATGGACATAAACGTGAGTCTAATCTGACGGGAGAGAGAGATCAGCTGCTGCTGACGAGTCGCAGCTCTGCATGATCACATGCAGCGGTGAGCGGAACAAAACACACACTTCAGGTTAGAATAGCACACGTAGCTATTTTAATGACCTCTCAAACTACCGTAACTAGTTATAGATATGTTTAGTTTTACTGTCGGTTTACCGTTCCGCCTGCTGCATGACGGGCTGTCAGGAGAGGGAGAGAGCGCTCTGTTTATTATTCCCGTGTTATTGTAAATTACTGTACACTTTTGAATAGTTAATCTACTATAATTAGTTTGTTTAATATCGAATCATCAATTTGTTTTAAAGCTCAATAAATAACAAAGAAGACCTTTGACCGGCACTTTTCAAATGTTGTCCGGAAGATTTAAACTTTAACGGACATGTTGACCGGCGAAAAAATATTCTAACGGGAACTCTGGTATGTAGGACTGTTGAATCAATGTAGAAATAATTCCTGCAGGACGACCATACATTGGATTTCTAGGTTAGAAAGTTAGAGTCAAACTTGAAAAAAATTGAATTATAAAAAAGTCTAAAATTGGCATAAAGTCAAAAAGAATCCCAAAAAAGGTCATACAAAAAAATAAGTTTTATAAATCTTTAGAAGACAGAACTGTAAACGTAATTTAGAAATCTGAAAAAATGTCAGATTTAAAAAGTCACAATTTCGTGACTTTTTAAATCTTTTTTAAAGCTTTTCATTTCGAGTTTCTTTTTTATATATATATAAATATAATATAATATAAAAAATATATATAAAAAAGAAAATCAAAATGAAAAGCTAAATGTCGAAATCCTAATAATAAGAGTCATGAATCTTAAAGAGTCATACGGTTCATGCGGTATATTGTGAATTGTTCGTGCATTTCGAGTCACGCACTCATTAGCCTAGCTTTAGCATGTCCAGGTAAAAATGGAGATCTAGGGTGTTGGAGGACGGTGACTAACTTATGTCTCTGCTATGCTGGTGCAACTGATCGTGGCGGAAGGCAGTGTGCTCTGTGGTGCTGGTATGTGTGGGGGGGGGGGGGGGGGGGGAGGGAGGATTACTCCAGTGATCATTTGGCTGAGAGAAAGAGAAACGGCTGCCAGTTCAAATCCTAAATCTAAGATGAGTGTACTCCCGTGCGAGGAGGAGAAAGAGATGTGTTTCTGCTTAAGGTACTTCTTGTTTTGTGCTGTATGACGTGACTTTAGAGGTATGCAAGAGGTGGGTAAACTTCCAAGGTTAGTTGGTGATGACGACAAGACAAACACGCATCATATGACCGCAATGATGCATACATATTATTTATATATTCTTCTATGAACCCTCTGCTACAACAACGGATGCGTGATTCGAGCTGGCAGCCAACCAATGATAGCTCTAATGCCACATATAATAACTGTACCATTTATATATATATAAATATATGCTTCTGTATACTGTATATTTGTATTAGCGACCTCTGTGAGGCACATGTAGAGTTACAGAGCCAGCGGTTCCCAGTCGGAGTTTCTTCACAGTGATAGTGAGCACACGGAGACGGCTGCTGAGACGCTGATCATCCTATTGCTCTCTCTGTGTGTGTGTGTGTGTGTGTGTGTGTGTGTGTGTGTGTGTGTGTGTGTGTGTGTGGGTGTGTGTGTGTGTCCCTAATCAGTGCTTACAGTTCTATTTTAATACCCTGCAACGTAGATTAGTAACACTGATGGCGCATCCTGAAGCCGTGTCACAGATCCTGCTGTTGTCAACAAGTCATCCAGAGATATATACCGGAGTGTGTGTGTGTGTGTTTGAGAGAGCGTTTGCAGGGATGTTTCCGTAGTGGACCCTGAAGGCAGCATCGTCCTGGTTCCCTCCAGAAAAAAACAACCGCCGTTTTTAAGCTAAGCTAAAGTCTAAGCTAAAGGTGGCTAATGTTGGGCGGGATGATGTTTAATCGTCTCATTTAGACACTTGTTAGCAACCGCTGTTTTTAAATCCACCATTTGGGTATTAACTGACGTATTTCACCAATTATTGGACCAAATACTCATCCAGAAAACCATTGGCTTCCGGACGAGGGAACAGGAAAATGCTGACTCATTCCAGGGTTTAGGACTCATTCCTGCAGACCTCTATTGTTAAGACAGGTTGGAGGGGGGGAGATAAAGGGAAGGGTACTAAGGGATACAGACATTGTGGTTTTAGTGCAACAGAAAAAAACCTGATAGTTAATTTTTATAGTGGATGACATTTTGGGATTTGGTTGGTGGAGCTTGTTTTTCAGCAGTGTTGATCTCATGGTTTCCGGGATAGGAAGGTCGCTCAGAGTCCATTTCTGCTGCGACGGCGAGACAAGGGTCTGTTTCTGAGTGGCGTTCTTTTAGTTTTTATTGGAGTCATAACGCCATTCCCCTCCCCCCCCTCGGCCATATCCACAGGTGACTCACTTCATCTCCCAGTCACCACCCACAATTGTCCGTTTGGTCTGATCCAATCGGGCCAAAATGGCTTCCACTGGAGTCCCAGCTTGACAGTTTCCTTTTTAATCGGCACACTGTGATTCCAGAAATTAACCCCCCCCCCCCCCCCCCCCCGCCTCGTTGTCATTGCAGATTCCTAAAAAAAAAAGTAAAAAAAAGTTGGTCCCTCGTGTTGGTTGATTTGGGAGAAAGTGTTGATCCACGGCCCGCTGTACACTGACCGAGAACGGGTCCACACTGGCCATCTGTGCACTGTGTGTGTGTGTGTGTGTGTGTGTGTGTGTGTGTGTGTGTGTGTGTGTGTGTGTGTGTGTGTGTCGCAGACAGAGGGGCAGCTCCACAAGATGACAGGTGAGGTAGAATCTGTCGGTACAGGTGAATGGGGGAGGGGCTTGCAGAGTTTAGTGACATCACCATCACTATCTGCCAGCGATGGACCAATCAGAAGACAACACTAAACAAATGAGGTAATCCATAAAAATAAAAACAACTGGGTGTAATGTGAGTGTGAGGTAATGAAGGAGGTATGAGGCGGAGAGGTATTGTGTTAATATATATATTCATATATTTGATGTAGGTACTCTATTATTTGTTAGTGTTATTAAGTAGCATGATGCAGATTTAGTCATGCATTTAAATAAAGTAACCTAGCTATATTTGTAAGTACAGTAAGTGATACCATACAATAAAAGCAGTGGAAACACTTCATATTTAGCCTTTAGCTACAATGCACTTTATTCTGAAAAGGCTGATAATGTATAATTACATGTTAGCATATTGATATTAATCTAAAAAAATGATATAACACTTCAAATGCTGAAGTTTACCAATATGTCTGCAGTTTTACGACATAAGGATGCACACTGCAGCTGTTCTAATGCATCTCAATGTGTCATGAAAGCATAAATAGTTAGCGCTGTCCATTCTTAATCGAGTATTTTGATGCTAATAGGATTTTGTTGACTGTGTGACTCATGTAAAAGCATAAAATAACGACTAATCGGTTAAATAACTCTTAGTCTGCTGCCACCAAAAGGACCAACCCTACACTGTAGATAAAGGCTTCATACCAGTGTTCCCACTAGCGTCTCCTACCACCACACCAGCATTAACTGAAGACTCAGTAATGTGGAAATACATCTGTCTACATAATGAGGTCAGAGTGTTGGATGTGTTCCAGACGAAGGTCAGTATGTGGGGGGGAGGTAGGTAGACAAACACTCATACTGGGTGGGATTAGATGGATGACGCCATTAAGGAGAGTTGATGGTCAGGTCCCAGAGATAAAACACTTTGCTGTGGTTGAGGTGGGAGACGGGGGGTTGCATTATCGAGAGTGCAGCTGCTAGTCCACACAGGTGCAACAGGAGATAACTGAGGAGGCTGGAGTTTGCATATATCTGCACTGTACGGTCCTGGCAGTGTGTTAGGAATCTTATGATAGAGTGGTGCAGGCATGTCCAATTTCCCCTGAAGGCAGCATCTCCTGTGGTCCAATGGGATTACTAAAATCTCTGATACTTACGGCTAATATGATGACGTTTTGAAGTCTCATTTAGACATTTATTAGCAACTGCCGTTTTTAAGCTAAGCTAAAGGCGGCTAATGTTGGGCATGATGACGTATAGTCGTCCCATTTAGACACTTGTTAGCAACCTCCGTTTTTAAATCCACCAGAGGGGTATTTACTGATATGTGTCGTAGAATATAAATCTCTTCAGCTTGTGTTAACTACAGACCTTATATCAGGATAAGAACCAATAACACATTCAGGAAACCATTGACTTCCAAGTAGAGGGAACAAGAAGTGCGAAAATGCCGATTCATTGCAGGGAGTATGGGACTCATTCCTGCACCACTCTATTAACTGTGTGTGTGTACCTGTCAGTGTGTATTTCGCTCAAGTGAAGTCGATGTGATTTTGCTGGTGGCAGGTGCTGGGTTTTGTGACAAAATAAGGACAAAAAAACCAAGTTCACAGGGTACGTTTCCACTGAAAAAAAAAAAGGTCAATTCCAGTTTTTGTCCTACTTCTGTTGCTCTTTCACCGCAGCTAACCCCCCCTTAATGTATTTCCTTCCATGGTTAGGGTTCTTTTTAAAGGGGGTGTTGTGGTGGAAACGTTCCTAAAGTCACACTTCCTGTTCCTCGAAGACCTCCAGGAAGAGAGGGGGGAAGAGTTCGTTGGGACACTCCACCTTCATGTGCAGGAAGCGGCTGGCGTGGCACGCTCCGATCATCCGAAGGTCCGTCACCTTCATCAGAAGCTTGGGCCAGAAGTGGGGAATGTTGTGCTTCCTGTAGTTGATGTAGTGTTCGAAGGCCAGCAGGTACGCCTCCTGACACTGCTCGATCTTCTCTATGTTGGTGAGTCCTGAGCGGTCTGCGGGGGGAGGGAGGGTACATTACAGTTGCCTTAAAACGAGTTAGGATGAGTGTGTTCAAACACGCTTTGAATTCTGACTTTTTCATGGAAACTGACGTTTTTCTGAAAATCTCAAAAATCTGACTTTTTTTCTCAAAATCTCAGAATCCTGACTTTTTTCTAAAAAAATCTTAAAATTCTGACTTTTTCAGAAAATTGCAAAATGTTGACTTTTATCAGAAAATATCAGAATTCTATCTATTTTCTGAAAAGCGAGTAAAGATGAGTGAATTCAAAACACGCTTTGAATTCTGGGTTTTTCGATATTTTTTTAGAAAATCTCATAATTCAGATTTTTTTCTAATAAATTCAGACTTCTCTGAAAATCTTAAAATACTGACTTTTTTCTAAAAATCTTAAAATACTGACTCTTTTTTCTCAAAATCTTACAATTCAGATTTTTTTCTCAACATTCTGACTTTTCAGATTCATTTTTATTTTCGTCCTTTTGGTTTCATACATATTGACATCTCTACATGCAGAACATACTAACTCATTATAAGGATATACAGTGTATAACCCAACTCCTTCCTGACCTGAGCTCATGAGCAGCACGGCCTGCATCAGCGCCACCTCCGAGTCGTCCAGGTTGAACTGAGCCAGGCTTTTGCCCAAATCAAAGATGGCGTCCGACACCACGCCCAGCCCTCCGTTCTTCAGCTGCTCTCGCTTCACCGCCATCTCTCCGTTCAGTGTCAGCGTCTCGCTCTCCGGGTCGTAGCGCACGGCGGCGCGCAGAGACATGATCTCCATGCAGCCGCCCTTCAGCAGGATGATCTGGTCCTCACAGGACAGCTGGAACACATCAATATTATTACATTTAATAACAATCTTTATATTCAGAGACATGATCTCCATGCAGCCGCCCTTCAGCAGGATGGCCCTCACAGGACAGCTGAAACACATCATCAGAAAAAACACATCGACATCTCCTCCGGTCGGCATATTTCATTTTAATGAAGTCTGTCGTAAATGTAAGCAGATGTTTGCCTCCTTCTGTTTTTAAATGGATGATCTTATTTTTGAAAAGTACGGAAAGTTTTCGGATAAGATAAGATATTCTCTATTGAACCCAAATTGGGAAATGTGTTGCAGCAGAATGTAAAACAAAGTCTTGCACACAAGTCACTTTTAAAAAAATAAGCAATTTATTTTAAATAATCTTGTTTTACAATAATTAAGTATTTTCAAACATTTCGTTATTTTAGAAAAATGTAATGATTTCTGTAATTTCTTTTTTTTAATCACACATTTTAAAAGTAAGGTGAGTTTTTTGAATATGGAATCAATTAAAAAATATATGTTTCCACAAAAGACATTTTTCAAAAGGTAATTAAAAAAAATTAAGCCTTTTTTTCAAATAATTTAATCATTTTTTAGATATTGGCAAAGTTGTTTTAAAAATAACAAAAATCTCAAATTGTAAAAGAAAATTCAATTAACGTGATACGTCAGTCTGACTGTGAATGAGTTTCGTCCGCCCCCAAAGTGAATATGTTCACGTTGTTTTCTTTCTGCTCGGAGGTTTCCAACAAACGAGCGTTGGAGGATTTTCTAAATAAATGCCGATGTCGTCCTGCTTGTGTTGCCGGATGTAAAAACAGCTGTTTGCTAACCAGCATATCACCGCTATCAGGGATAAATACTGTACGCGTGTGTTTGTGTTTACAGATGGCCGTGTTGCCCAAAAAAGTGGTTTGACTTTTTTCCCCAAAAGATTTCTGCAAGTCTTTTGAACACCAGCTGAAAATAACTGTAAAATACAGCTCAATATGATGGAGTTTAACTGATATTGGAGGAGGTGACTTCATTGCATTTGTAATCTTGTAATACTGTGCTAAATATGCAAAGCTGAAGAAGAATCTGCCTTTTAAATGTACAGTGAGCTTCGGTCTGAGAGCACCACTTCCCACAAACACTGATTACCTTCGGGCGCTTCCTATTATTTTCTATTCCTAACGAATCCCCCGGTACCCGTAAGGCAAGGCAAGTTTATTCATATAGCACCTTTCAACACAAGGCAATTCAAGGTGCTTTAAAACAATGAAAGACATTCAGACAAAGGCATTTAAAATCAGTAAAAGATAATAAAAGAAACATTAAAAGAAAAATTACATGAATCAAAAGTTACAGTGCAGTTTAAGATATGAATAGTTCACACAGAAGTTCCACTTTCCTGATGCCTTTCTTTAAGGTTTCACAACCGCTCAGTTTCAATGAAAAGCAGCGACAAAAAGAAAAGTCTTCTTGCTGGATTTGAAAGTAGTCAGAGTTGCAGCGGACCTGCAGGTTTCTGGGAGTTTGTTCCAGATCTTTGGAGCATAATAACTGAACGCTGCTTCTCCATGTTTAGTTCTGACTCTGGGGACAGAAAGCTGACCAGTCCCTGAAGACCTGAGAGATCTGGATGCTTCATCATTTAGCAGGAGGTCAGAAATGTATTTTGGGCCTAAACCATTCAGTGCTTTATAAACCAGCAGCAGTATTTAGAAATCTATTCTTTGACACACAGGAAGCCAGTGTAAAGACTTCAGAACAGGAGTGATCCACTTTCTTAGTGTTAGTGAGGACTCGAGCAGCAGCGTTCTGAATCAGCTGCAGCTTCCTAATAGATGTTTTAGTGAGACCTGTGAAGACACCATTGCAGTAGTCGAGTCGACTGAAGATTTCCAAATCGTAACCGGGAAGCCCCTAAAATATACATGACTTCTGCACTCAGTGAAGTGGACACACACACACACACACACACACACACACACACACACACACACACACACACACACACACACACACACACACACACACACACACACACACACACACACACACACACACACACACACACACACACACACACACACACACACACACACACACACACACACACACACACACACACACACACACACACACACACACACACACACACACACACACACACACACACACACACACACACACACACACACACACACACACACACACACACACACACACACACACACACACACACACACACACACACACACACACACACACACACACACACACAGGGTTTCATTACTTAGTGTAATATGAGCTGACAGGCAGGAAGAGGAAGTTTCCAATCAACAGCTCGTTAGTACACGGCGCTCAGGAGACCCGTCTGGAGTTAACGAGACGCTCAACTGTCAGCACACAAACAGAAGCTGGGTCCAAAGTCACTGACAGACTTCCCCACTTAGTGTCTGTCTTAAATGAGGAGACACAACAGCCTTCAGAAATGACCCCAGATGAACCTTAGGATGTTATCACTTATTGCTGCGTTTGATACTGACACTGGTTCTTCACTAACTATCTGCCACTTACTTTAGATTCAAGTTCCAAGTCTCTCTCACCATGAGCTCAGCAGCTACAGAGGAGATGTGTCAATGACAAACGGAAGTCCTCCTCTAGCAGAGCAACATGAATATATAGGACATACAACTAATAACACTGATAAAATAGTGCAAGAGACTGTTTTCAGATGAAGAAGTAAATACACATAAAATAGAAATAGTGCCAGAAGAGTCTAAATACAACTAAATGGAATATCTCTCTAGGTCGTCTCAGACGAGTCCTCCATCGTCGCTTCAAGATCCTGCTCTCGTCCACTGATGGCCTTCCTGAGCGCGTAATATGATATATAGATAATTAACTTGCAAGAATCTTTAATTGTATATTTACTGCATGACTAGTGCCTTTACTGGTTGTGATGTCGATACTAAGCGTTTAAATGCAGGATTTTTACTCGTAACAGAATATTTCTACAACGTAATATTGCTTGTTCTTCCTCGTACGTGTGGAGGCCAGTCTTCAGAGAAACTGATAAATGATTCATTGACAAAGTTTGTCTTTTGTTATATTTAATAAAGTAATAAAGAAAGTCAATATAAAGTGAAATGGATCTGAAGTGCAGGAACAGAGCAGCTTTATCCTCAGAGGAGAGAGGTTCTGCTTTCAGTCTCTGTGTGAGGAACCAGCTGCTCCTCCTTCCCACCATCAAACCATTCAACCCCCTCGTCCTTCATTAACCTTTTACGAATCCACCTTTTACTTCCTTTGCCCTCCTGCAATGTAAATGCTTAACATACGTCTCTGTTCAACACATACAAGACTAAACATACCATTTAAAAGGCAATAAGACTATATGTTTGAAATGATAGTTTGACACGGCAGTACGTACCTCTGAGAACATGGGTAGTTTCTTGGCGAAGTCCACCACGCGTGTGATGGCAGGGGTCATGATCTTCGTGAACTCGCTGAAGGCTTCCAGGTCCACCTTGTCTGAAGTGGGAATCATCGAACCCTGACCGATATCATCCGACTGGAAACAAGACAGCATACACGGTTAACGGAGACATGCAGCTAGAGAGGCACTTGAATCGTTCTCAAGTTCATTTCCTTTCCAACAAATCGGGAGTTCATTAATTTGACCAAAAGGAGCAAAGAGAGCCTGTGGAAGGTAGAGAACTTGAACATGTGAAAACCAGAAACACAAAATATATCTAAGAACATTTACATATCACCCAACGTCTTTGGTATCGACCGGTTTGGGAGATGGACAACTATTATCTTTGTTTTTTCTACTCACACACTCATTTAGACAGTATGTAGTGTCTCTACTTTAAAGAGTCCTCTCCTGCTGATGTTCAGGTGTATATCAGTATGTAGTGTCTCTACTTTAAAGAGTCCTCTCCTGTTGATGTCCAGGTGTATATCAGTATGTAGTGTCTCTACTTTAAAGAGTCCTCTCCTGTTGATGTTCAGGTGTATATCAGTATGTAGTGTCTCTACTTTAAAGAGTCCTCTCCTGCTGATGTTCAGGTGTATATCAGTATGTAGTGTCTCTACTTTAAAGAGTCCTCTCCTGCTGATGTTCAGGTGTATATCAGTATGTAGTGTCTCTACTTTAAAGAGTCCTGTCCTGCTGATGTTCAGGTGTATATCAGTATGTAGTGTCTCTACTTTAAAGAGTCCTCTCCTGCTGATGTTCAGGTGTATATCAGTATGTAGTGTCTCTACTTTAAAGAGTCCTCTCCAGCTGATGTTCAGGTGTATATCAGTATGTAGTGTCTCTACTTTAAAGAGTCCTCTCCTGCTGATGTTCAGGTGTATATCAGTATGTAGTGTCTCTACTTTAAAGAGTCCTCTCCAGCTGATGTTCAGGTGTATATCAGTGTGTAGTGTCTCTACTTTAAAGAGTCCTCTCCTGCTGATGTTCAGGTGTATATCAGTGTGTAGTGTCTCTACTTTAAAGAGTCCTCTCCTGCTGATGTTCAGGTGTATATCAGTGTGTAGTGTCTCTACTTTAAAGAGTCCTCTCCTGCTGATGTTCAGGTGTATATCAGTATGTAGTGTCTCTACTTTAAAGAGTCCTCTCCTGCTGATGTTCAGGTATATATCAGTATGTAGTGTCTCTACTTTAAAGAGTCCTCTCCTGCTGATGTTCAGGTGTATATCAGTATGTAGTGTCTCTACTTTAAAGAGTCCTCTCCTGCTGATGTTCAGGTGTATATCAGTGTGTAGTGTCTCTACTTTAAAGAGTCCTCTCCTGCTGATGTTCAGGTGTATATCAGTATGTAGTGTCTCTACTTTAAAGAGTCCTCTCCTGCTGATGTTCAGTTGTATATCAGTATGTAGTGTCTCTACTTTAAAGAGTCCTCTCCTGCTGATGTTCAGGTGTATATCAGTACGTAGTGTCTCTACTTTAAAGAGTCCTCTCCTGCTGATGTTCAGGTGTATATCAGTATGTAGTGTCTCTACTTTAAAGAGTCCTCTCCTGCTGATGTTCAGTTGTATATCAGTATGTAGTGTCTCTACTTTAAAGAGTCCTCTCCTGCTGATGTTCAGGTGTATATCAGTATGTAGTGTCTCTACTTTAAAGAGTCCTCTCCTGCTGATGTTCAGGAGTATATCAGTATGTAGTGTCTCTACTTTAAAGAGTCCTCTCCTGCTGATGTTCAGGTGTATATCAGTATGTAGTGTCTCTACTTTAAAGAGTCCTGTCCTGCTGATGTTCAGGTGTATATCAGTATGTAGTGTCTCTACTTTAAAGAGTCCTCTCCTGCTGATGTTCAGGTGTGTATCAGTATGTAGTGTCTCTACTTTAAAGAGTCCTGTCCTGCTGATGTTCAGGTGTATATCAGTGTGTAGTGTCTCTACTTTAAAGAGTCCTCTCCTGCTGATGTTCAGGTGTATATCAGTATGTAGTGTCTCTACTTTAAAGAGTCCTCTCCTGCTGATGTGCAGGTGATTATCAGTATGTAGTGTCTCTACTTTAAAGAGTCCTCTCCTGCTGATGTTCAGGTGTATATCAGTATGTAGTGTCTCTACTTTAAAGAGTCCTCTCCTGCTGATGATCAGGTGTATATCAGTATGTAGTGTCTCTACTTTAAAGAGTCCTCTCCTGCTGATGTGCAGGTGATTATCAGTATGTAGTGTCTCTACTTTAAAGAGTCCTCTCCTGCGATTGTTCCGGTGTATATCAGTATGTAGTGTCTCTACTTTAAAGAGTCCTCTCCTGCTGATGTTCAGGTGTATATCAGTATGTAGTGTCTCTACTTTAAAGAGTCCTCTCCTGCTGATGTTCAGGTGTATATCAGTATGTAGTGTTTCTACTTTAAAGAGTCCTCTCCTGCTGATGTTCAGGTGTATATCAGTATGTAGTGTCTCTACTTTAAAGAGTCCTCTCCTGCTGATGTTCAGGTGTATATCAGTATGTAGTGTCTCTACTTTAAAGAGTCCTCTCCTGCTGATGTTAAGGTGTATATCAGTATGTAGTGTCTCTACTTTAAAGAGTCCTCTCCTGCTGATGTTCAGGTGTATATCAGTATGTAGTGTCTCTACTTTAAAGAGTCCTCTCCTGCTGATGTTCAGGTGTATATCAGTATGTAGTGTCTCTACTTTAAAGAGTCCTCTCCTGCTGATGTTCAGGTGTATATCAGTATGTAGTGTCTCTACTTTAAAGAGTCCTCTCCTGCTGATGTTCAGGTGTATATCAGTATGTAGTGTCTCTTCTTTAAAGAGTCCTCTCCTGCTGATGTTCAGGTGTATATCAGTATGTAGTGTCTCTACTTTAAAGAGTCCTCTCCTGCTGATGTTCAGGTGTATATCAGTATGTAGTGTCTCTACTTTAAAGAGTCCTCTCCTGCTGATGTTCAGGTGTATATCAGTATGTAGTGTCTCTACTTTAAAGAGTCCTCTCCTGCTGATGTTCAGGTGTATATCAGTATGTAGTGTCTCTACTTTAAAGAGTTTTCTCCTGCTGATGTTCAGGTGTATATCAGTGTAGTGTCTCTACTTTAAAGAGTCCTCTCCTGCTGATGTTCAGGTGTATATCAGTATGTAGTGTCTCTACTTTAAAGAGTCCTCTCCTGCTGATGTTCAGGTGTATATCAGTATGTAGTGTCTCTACTTTAAAGAGTTCTCTCCTGCTGATGTTCAGGTGTATATCAGTATGTAGTGTCTCTACTTTAAAGAGTCCTCTCCTGCTGATGTTCAGGTGTATATCAGTATGTAGTGTCTCTACTTTAAAGAGTCCTCTCCTGCTGATATTCAGGTGTATATCAGTATGTAGTGTCTCTACTTTAAAGAGTCCTCTCCTGCTGATGTTCAGGTGTATATCAGTGTAGTGTCTCTACTTTAAAGAGTCCTCTCCTGCTGATGTTCAGGTGTATATCAGTATGTAGTGTCTCTACTTTAAAGAGTCCTCTCCTGCTGATGTTCAGGTGTATATCAGTATGTAGGGTCTCTACTTTAAAGAGTCCTCTCCTGCTGATGTTCAGGTGTATATCAGTATGTAGTGTCTCTACTTTAAAGAGTCCTCTCCTGCTGATGTTCAGGTGTATATCAGAATGTAGTGTCTCTACAGACAGAGAATCAGCACTTTGGAAACAGGGCTGAAACAGAGGGGATTATGGGTAATGCTGCAATGATCTGTTTGGTGTTTCAGCCAATCAGAGACAGGCTCTGGATATATCTGAGACCGGTGATATACTGATGAAGAAGAGGATAATAGAGGAGCTTTAAGTGAAAATAAATACTTAAATCCACCCTCACCCAATGTGACGTTCTTTGTCTGGGCCTTAAAGCCGGGTTGTGAACAAATTGGGGTTCTTCCGGGATTCGACCTCTCACGACCCAAGCGAGAATCACACCCCAGACCTTTGCATTTATATAATGACTTTACTTCATCAGCTGTGGAGACATCTGCTTGCGCTCCTGCCTCACTGGATTATCGCCACAGATTGAGTCGCGGATGAAAGGCAGAGCTGTCAAATCGGTTTCTTTTGAAAAATGGAGCGAAGTCGTCGCCTTTCATGTTCGAGCTCGTGGGATTTTCAAAGTGGAAATGTGCGTTCTGTGGGTGGAGGATTCTGGATTAATGAGCTGCAGCACATGAAGGAATGAACTTCTGTGTGTACCGCAAGTTATTACAACAAATCAAAAGGACGGATTCACAGAGTGTGAGGGATTACACGCTGTGATCCTAAACAGACGGCTGTTAATGAAAATATGACATTAATTATATTCCTTGGGTTCGTTTTACATTGTGCTTTCATGGATTATGTCGAGTCCATTTGGCAAGAGCTCAAAAGCCAGCGAGGAGTTGAGCCTTCTGTAGATCTTACGTACCAATGCTTTAGTTTCTCGCTTGACTTTGAAAATAGTTTCTCACATATTCATATTTTGTGTAAATATTGTCCTTATTTTTAAATTTGTTACAATCGTCTTGAAAACGTTTTGAAATAGCTTTTGTAATAGTACTATGGTTTGATACGTACTCTGTGCTTTGTATGCATCACTAACACCAAAGAAAATACCTCATGTGTTCTCTTGCTTGATTCGACCGTGCGGTAGATCAAATCAAAGGCTAGTGAATCTTCAAATATATGTTTCTAACTTTGACACTATTGTCTTTGGAAGCTTACGAGACCCTCCAGAAAAACGCGGGCTAAAATCCTTGATTATGTG